GCTGGAGCAAGAGCTCCGGGTTGTGCAGGTGCTTCATCCTCTGTGGCTGTGAAGCCTTTGGGACGGACTGTTTGCTATCAGCATGTGAGCTGTGCTCCTTCCTGGTGGAGCATAATCACATTTTTTAATTCCTTTTAATAAAAAGTCTTCAATTAAAAAAAAAAAAAGAAAGAAAAGAAAAAAGAAGTTAGGAAACTTTCCCTTCCCTGGCAAGAGCAAGCTGTTCCCTTGCAGCAAACTGTGTGGGTTAAAAATGGTTGCTCTTTCCTGGCTGTCCTCTTGACAGCCCCAGTCCTGAGCACCAGGGACATGCTGGCAGTATGTCCCTCCCTGCCCCACGGCCTGTGGCTATGGGGCCACACTCACCTCCCTTAGAGCAGGGGTACACAGCTCCGTTGCCTGATGTGAAGCAGGTCACATCCAGACTCTGCCTGCAGGATCCTGAGCCCGCCCTGGTGCATGTGCCCGAAACAGGAGCACGAGCCTGTGGGAAGCGCCAGTGGGAATGTGCCATGCACCTTTGACCTTAGGACATGCCAGGCCCCTGATTGCTTGGGCGGGAGCGCGTTGCTGTATAAAAGCCCTGGAGGAGACCTTGCTCCGGCAGTATGCGCCAGCCTGTCTGTGCGATGGCTGACCCCAAGGAGCCTGAGAAGGAGGGCGTCGAGCTGGGCACCCCTAATGCAGCTCCCTCCACAGGGACCATGTCCACCCGGCGCCTCCGCAGCGAGGACTACAACGACTACAGCTCCACGGACGTCACACCGGAGGGGAGCCCGCCCGACGGCATGAACGGCTTCACCCGCCCCGAGTCCTACCAGCGCTTTGGGGAGTCCAATGGGACAACGTGAGTGACGCTGCCTTCCCCACCAGGCTGGCCCAGCACCCGGGGAGGGTGGAGGAGGTAACGGTGGCTCCGGGCTGCCTGCTGGCTTTGCTGGAGGATGGTAGAGCCATGGTTTTATGGGGAATCCCTCCTGGGGGTGGCGAAGGCAGAGCTCTGGTCCTGCCTGATGGAGACCGAGCAGGATGAGCTGAGGGCTGTGACTGCGTGGTCTGGGTGCGGGCACCTGCTGACGGTCATCTCTGCATCTTCTCTCCCCCAGGTGGTACCAGACCCTGATCCACCTCCTGAAGGGGAATATCGGCACAGGGCTGCTGGGGCTGCCTCTGGCTGTGAAGAATGCTGGCATCCTGGTAAGGCAGCTCTCAGCCCTGCGGTGCGGGAGCTCGTGGGGCAGAGTGACCGCAGGGCGTTGGGCAGCTTGCCTGGCCGGCGTTAGAGCCGACTCCCTGCTGAGATGGCTCTTGGTGCTCGGTGGCTTGCGAGCTTTTGCACCCGGGGCTCTGCGGCTCGCTTCGTTTGCTGCTGGCCTGTCCTTGCCACTCCTGTGTGGTGTTGGCTGGTCTTGAGGAGTTCAGCATGTGAGTCGGGCTGCGGTTTCCTCAGCTGGGGTCAGGCAGGGTGCTGGGTCCCTGCACGCTCACCCAGCTGGCTGTTACCTCCCTGGCCCCTGCGGCATCCGCCCCTTTCTCCCGGAATGCTCCACTCGGGTGGCATCTCCTCGCCCTGACCTCCCTGGCCCCTGCGGCATCAGCCCCTTTCTCCCGGAATGCTCCACTCGGGTGGCATCTCCTCGCCCTGGTCCTGTGGGTGGCAGGTTCAGCATGACCTCCACCTTGGTTTGTCGCAGCCGGTCTATGCTGAGCAGACCATGCCTCCTGAGGGTCCTACGAGCACAGCACGCATGTAACGAGCCCCATCGGTCAGCGGTTAGGGCTGCTGGTGGGAGATGGTGGCATGCTTCCCTCCCTGGGGTTTCACGTGGGCTTACCCAGCCTCACAGCTCTGGCCATGTCGAGCTCAGAGGATGTGATGCAGTTTTGCTGCCTGAGGGCTGGTGTCACGCTTGGTGGTCAAACAGCAGCCCCCGGCCGCTGTCACATTTCCCCCCCACTTCTGTCCCCACGCTCAGCACCTTGGTGTCTGTATCATGCTCCAGCAACTGCTGTCTGAGAGGTGGGGGCACCTTGCTGCTCTGCTCCAGGTTTCCTTGCCCAGCAATGCAACGTTCCCATTGCTCAGATTGAAAAATAAAAAGAATTAAAAATGAAAACTTCCTTTCTTTGTCTGAGCCATGACCTCTTTGTTACCTGTGTGATAGCAATGTGCAAGATAGTTTGAAAAACAATCCTGGAAGCGCTTTGCTACGCCCAAGCTGCCCCAACTTGCTGCTTCTGCATCATTCCTGCCAAGCTTGTTGCTCTCCGTGGGGTTACTCTGTCCTGGGGGGCTGGTTCACGGGAGCAGCACCCGACCTCTGGTTCAGCCTCCAGCGGTGTTTTGGTTCACTGGACCTGTGGAGTTTTGTCGGGAAGTAAAACCCATCGTGCAGCTCTGCCTTTGGCCATCAGAGTGCAGCCTTCCCCCTCTCTTCCCCTGCAGCTGGGTCCTCTGAGCCTGCTGGTGATGGGAGTCGTGGCTGTGCACTGCATGGGCATCCTGGTGAAATGCGCCCATCACTTCTGCTACAGGTAAGGAGCAGCTCCCCTTCTCGGCACTGCTGCTTCTCCTTCCTTCCTTCCCAACAAGCCCTGTGGTTTTTCTGAAGCCTCCCAGGGGCAAATTGCCTGTGCCGAAGCCTCAGTCAGGAACTACTTCTGGGCTTTTTCACAGGAACTATTTTCCCATTACTGTCAGTTTGCCTTGGGAACCAGCTGACGGGGCTGACGTGACGTCCCTTCTTTCTCTCTTCTCCGGACAGGTTCCAGAAGCAGTTTGTGGACTATGGGGGTGCCGTGGTGTACGGGCTGGAGTCGACTCCCAGTGCGTGGCTGCGGACACATGCTGTCTGGGGAAGGTACCTGTTCCCCCATCCAGGCAGGGGACTTGTCTTTAAGCCCAGCATGTGCTGCAGCCGGGATAGAAGAGCCAGCTGGTCTCTCAGCTGTGTTGGCAGATGAGCACAAGTGACATAAAATGTTATTTGGCTCACCTGCCCTGAATGCTCAGTGTCCCCCAGGGGATAACATTGAGGTCTTTGACCCGGTCCTGTCCCCAGATATGGCTTATACTAAAGGGTTGGGAGAAGTAAGTCTCTGCAGCATAACAAAAGGGGTAAATAACATGTTCTGCAGTGCTGGCCCATCTTGTTAGACAGTGAGCATATCTAATGGCTGCTCCCAGGGATGCTACCAGCCCTGTGGGTGTCTCACATCACATCACATTGATCGTTGCACATCAGATGCTGGGAACATTCACCTATTCCTGTGTCTGGGGAGTGTTGTCTCCAGCTGTGACAATTCAGCAGCAGACTAGAAGTGCTAAACACAAGGAGGAGACTTTCCTCCTGAGGCTGGTCATGACCCTTTGGAGGGGATGGAACGGGGAGACCGCAGAGCCTGAGGCCTGTGAGGTTAGATGGAGATGTGGTCCTCTCTCCTGATCGTCCAGGAGAAGTGAGCTGGGTGTGCTCTGACCTGCACATCTCAACCCCCAGGGAGAGCAGCATTGCTGCAGTGTTTAAGTGCAGCCGCAAGCAACCCGAGTGGACTCTTATTTCTATATGGCCTAGGTAACAAAAGGTCTTTTTTTCTTTTCTAGGCGTGTAGTGGGACTCTTCCTGATAGTCACTCAGCTGGGTTTCTGCTGTGTGTACTTTGTCTTTCTGGCTGACAATCTAAGACAGGTTAGACTTACTCCTTCCTTTGTACTCTGACCCTTACTCCTCGTCTTACCCCTCCTGAGCCAGGGGAGGGGTGTGGAGGCGCTTGGGTTGTTTGTAGCTCCCGTGTCACGGCCACCAAAGGTTCGCTTTCTGAAGCTGATGCTGCTCAGGAGGGTACTGCTCCTCTGCCCGGGTATTTTGGAGGATCGGTTTCCCCATTCAAACAGGGCAGGTTTGTCCGAGAGTCCCTGTGAGTTTGCTCCGCGTGCAGAGACGCTGGAGCTGTCTGTCGCCCAGGGCAAGTGCGGCCGTTCCTGGTTAGGGAAGGCAGGAGCACGGTGAAAGCAGAGGGACTGTGTCTTTGATGTCGTGCCCACCTCAGTTACTTGGTTTATTGATACTCTATGTAGATGGTAACGTGTAATGGGTACCGGGACCTGCCGTGAACCTCTCTTCTCCCTTTCTTGGACCTGTTTGCATTCCAGTTTCTTGCCTCATCCCGTGGCTCTGGAGCTTAATTACATC